GTGTCAAGGAACGTTCCCGAACTCAGTTCCCTAGTCAGACAGAGGGAGATACCCTAGAAGTCCAGTTCGACTCGATTTTGACCGGCTGAAGATGTCAAGGAACGTTCCCGAACTCAGTTCCCTAGTCAGACAGAGGGATATACCCTAGAAGTCCAGTTCGACTCGATTTTGACCGGCTGAAGGTGTCAGGAACGTTCCCGAACTCAGTTCCCTAGTCAGACCATTCATAGTCTTTGATTCCCAGGGTCTATGGTGTTCAGAATCGAACCCATCCTGTTGTTGCCTTCCCGAACTCCGGACCGACCCGTTTCCGAAGCCCAGGACCGGTTCCCGTTCCGGTGGGCTCCACCCGTGTCCGGCGCGTGTCCGGGTCTCAGAGGTTCAGACCCGGCTTCTGAGTTCAGACTCCTTCACCAGCGGTGAAGAGTCGAGTGGCATGTTGTGGGGGGCAGTCGAACTCTTGACGACGTCATGGGTGGAAAAAAGAACACCAGTCACATGGAGGGCCTGGGTGGTGTTCGTCCCATCTGAGTGGAGGCGTGGAGGTTCTTCGGGGCGGTTTCGTGTCCTCCGTTCGTTCAGCCCATCTTGTGACTTCTGGGTCAGTGAAGAGAGGACTCCTTCTCTCTTGTTCCAAACATCCTCTCAGGCCCCTTTTCGAACACAGCATGCGGGTATCTTTCATTGAACCCCCATGGTTGGGAGTTCAGAAGAGCCAGGTACGGCCAGCAACTCGAAACCAAACCCCGGTGTTTGGTAGGCCGAGATACAAATAATAGTGGGCCCAAACATATATCATATCGCATATAAGAACAAAACACGCCAAAACACGGTGATGTTCTCCGTTCTTCATGCTGATCTCCACAACAAAATCTCAGCCAGACCCACACACTCCGAGGGGTTTCTGGCCGCTGGGCACCCAAAGATCCATGGCACCCTCCTCTCCAACTCCACATTCGTCGGATGCGGGGCGGCGTACATTGGACGCCCAGTTGGATGAGGGCGACACTTTCTGCCGGGAGGATTTGCTGCGCTCCACTGGTCAAGGGGGAGGGTTCTGAAAGCAAACTAATGTCCGTGAGGAATCCGGGAAAACCCCACCCTTGCAATGGTTGAATCCCGAAGAAACACCCTTACCCATCCTTACCCAAAATTGGAGATGTATCCCAGCCCAGCCGGTCGATCCGAGTTCTCTGCGTCAACTTCTTCAGCTTCACAACCATTCGCTTCACCCGTCCCGCTCATACGACCAGCCCGACGGGTCCCGCCACACCGACGGGTCCAGCGACTTGATCGTCCGACCGATTCGGAACCGATCACGTCGGACCCGGCGACGTGGCCACCGAAGGAGGTGGAGGTTGGTGCAACGGTCGGTCCAAGCACGAAGTTCTTCACCTGCTCTTGGTATGATCTTCGCACCCAGACGTGACCGACTCTCAAACTGCCATAGCTAGGAGGTCCAAAACCCTAGTTGTGAGGGTCAAAACCCGAGCGAACTGGGGGTCTAGTGAGCTTTTGGGCACGAGAAATCGTGCCCGAGCCACACCTGTTCGCAATCCAAAAACTCATCTCTTCAATCCCAGCCGATGCCATCGACCCTGGCAATCGACCAGGGTCGAACCCCGGGGAACTTGGGTCCAGGACCGGAAGACTGGGTGGCGCACCATGTGGCCCGAGTTAGTCGAAAGTGGTGGTCCTCCTGGACGTGTTCGGTGACTCAATATTCGACTTCGGTGCTGCCAAAGAGATGTTGAATGCCAGCACCTTGCAACATATAATAATTATAATATATACTGTATATACCTCTTCCAACAGGTCTCCTTTGGAGGGTTGTTAGGCCCTAACAGGTTTCAATTGGTGACCTGTTGGAGGTGCTGGTATATATAATGCAATCCTGGTATCGGACCATTATGTATCGGACCATTATGTTGCCCCAGTGAAGGAGGTAACGGAAGTTCCCTTTCAATCAGGTACCTTCCAACAGATCTCCGAAGTCGCAGGCTTTTGCCGACTTAGAAGTCGCAGGTGGTGACCTGTGAAGTCGGGTCCTGGTATAGTCGACCTGTACTTCAAGGGCCGATACTTCAACCCATGCACAGAAAAAACCCGGAAGCCTCCTGAATGTGCGGAGCGCTCGCTAGACATGTATAGCATATCCGGCAACAGGCGTCAATACAAGCAGCATGGGGCCTGCATGACGAATTTGTCCACAAAACGCTTGAAAACAGACCCTAGGCTTCCAACAACCATTGATTTAAAGGTGTTTACCGAACAACCTGTGTTTCACTAAGGAATTTACACTACAACAACAGGTCAACCTTTCTTTTAAAGGTCTTGGAAGGCTAGGGTAGAGGGCGGCTCAGAGGCCCACCCTGCTACTGCAGACATCTGAAACTTGGACTGAGTAGCAGGTGAAATGAGGCCATCTATAGCTCACCAGGAAAGTGTGCGGACGGACCGCAGGAGACGTTGAAAAGGACCCAAATGTGGAATGATCAGCAGGAAACAGCAACGTGCCGCCGCAACTTCAGGCACAAAGCTGGCTGAAGTGAAGCACTGCTTCCAGCACTTCAGCCCACCTTAGCCAGGCCCAATCACCATCAATCACCCTGGGCCCTGGATCTTCTTAAACATGTCTGCCGGACATCAAACCAGCTCAATTTAGCAGAACGTTGCATGTCGTTGGAAGCTCCAGGCGTTTCTTGGTGGTTTCAAGATTGTTCAACCCACTTGCAAGAATATGAGTCAGGAGTTCAATCAAGTAAAGGTTGAAAATGTTCGCATCTCCGAAAACCACGCACTGACTGAGAAACGCCCAATTCTCGCGCGCGAACAGACGCGCTGAGAGGCTGAACGGCACCGTCGTTGACTGGTCTGTGAAGATCTGAAGTGGATAAAGGTGTTCCAAACAGGTAAATCGACTGAACAGTCTTCCTCGGCTGAACAGCGGTCGCTGGAACTGCCAAAAAAGGGATGCCTGAAGGTACGTCAACGTGTGAGCCGCTCATATGGATGTGATACAGGCGAGTATATGAACATGTGTCGGCAGCTGATTCTGGAAAGGCCAAGCACAGCACACATGTCATTCGAATGAGACAATACTACAATGGTTACAAGGTGCAACGCCCACAAGCACATTCACAAGCACATTCGCAGCCACATCGACCAAACAAATTCATGCTGGTCCAAGAAACCTTTGTTGCAACCACTGCAGTCGCTGGACACTCCCTGCCGGATGAAAGCGCTCGAAGCCGCCCACCGCCACGTTTTTCCGCCCCCGATCCACCAAGTACCCGCGAGGATGTTAATAAGAAAAATAACAAGACGAACCACAACAACAAATTGACTGGTCTACCAAACAACTATTAATTGGTTTACTATGTTTACTAAGTTACCAAGGGTTTGACACGACCAAATCCAGATCTGTTTCAAAAAAGGGTCGACTTGACGGTTTAGGATCCAGTTCAGGAACCTCCGTCTTGCTTCTGACGACGAGTGGCGCTTCCAAGACCTTGAAGCGTTCCATGGCCATCGAGAAGTCCGTCTTGGAAAGGACGCAGCCCAACTTCTTGTGCAAGCGCTGACGAATTCGCCTGTTTGAAGAAGCTTTGCACTTGGTCTTTTAGAGGCCTGCCTGCTGGGACAGACATGACAAGTTACCAAGTCCTAGCACCCGACTTTACAACAGGTCTCTGGCTTCAACGACAGTGGTGACCTGTGGGCCCAATGAACGCATGGTCGCTGGATGGGGTAACTCAGTCTTGCAATCCCGCTGGTCTCCAGGAGTTGAAGCTCATGCTGTTTGGTCCAACACGCCAAGGGGCCGCCCAGACACGACCTGTCTGGGACTGCCATATATATATATATATATATAGGGTATATGGCTACATGGACCCCCCTGGCACCACCCCAATTGATGGGTAAATATACCAATCCCATGGAGTGTCTGATGGGTATCGTGATGGTCCAACACGCCAAGGTATAAGGGTATCGACATCGATGTATATGCCCCGGGGGTCCAGTCGTACCTTCTCAGGGTGCTTTCTTCGACACTGTCATGAGACGGTGCCAAAACGTTGGGTCCGTTTTCGTACACCATCCTGGATCTGTAGCGATGCTAACATAACTGTAACATGGCCAACTTCTTGAAAACATCACCCTGCGAGACCCTGAGAGACCTTGAGACTTCGGGTGACCGGGTGACCGGGCGGGTTGCGCGGCTTCCTCCGGCCTCTTCATCATGGCGTTCATCGCGGCTCGGCTCTCCTCGGCTGCTTTCTTCAGCAAGTCCTCCAGGTGATTCTTCTTCTCCTTGGATGTGCGGTGGTTCGGAAGGGAACATCCCAAGCTTTGGGAGATACCCAGTTCGGGAGAATAAACAATATAAAACACTGAAAGCAAAACACCAGGTCTCTTGCACGTTGCGCCGACGCCCCTCGGCTTTGGATCCTGCCAGGTCGCGACGCCCTCCCAACGCCGGTTCCCCCGATCCCAACGCCTCCGTCGTCGCCTCCGTGTCTTCCGCGTCCCCTCCGGTCCGTTCGGTCGCCTCGTGGGGCCATCGACACGTCGAGCATGGTGGGGACGTGGCGCCGGGTCCGGTCTCCGTACTCTGAGCCCAAGGAAGGCGCGGATGTGGCGGGTTGGTATTCTGGCGACCCACCCGGTCCGAGCAGGGATGGAGCGCAACTGGACGGTTTTGCGGCGGAGCGGAACTGGGAACTGGAATTTTGCAGCAAAAGTGGAGCCAAGGACAGGTCGATGTGCCAGCTACCTCTTCTGATTAGTCTTCCAAACCTGAACTTCAATCAAGGGCTGGTTAGGCCTCTCGGCCTCTCAAGACATCTTTAATATATATATGCCCCCAATTGATCGGTAATTCAAGTGTTGGAAGAGCCCCCGAGAGGTCTGAAGAAGCAGTGGAGCCAGCCAAAGGCAGGTCCTTGGGCGGCCACTTGGGTGTCTTTAGGAACGATGCATCACCGATCCATCTTCCCTTCTTACCTATACCTGGAACCCCAGTCCCAACCAGAAACAAATGGTTGTTCCAATATGGCAATCGAGTTCTTTCTGGTTGTTTAGAGTTCCGAACTCCAGGTTGACTCGCTTGACTATTTCCTTTTCAGATCAGCTCAACAGGTTGGAGGCCATCGCTAGTAGGCTTAGAGTCTGGACCCTGCCTCAGATTGCTCAGGTTGTTGGACCGTCACAACTCAGGCTTTTGGACTGAAAAAGCCTCGGGTCCAGGGTCGCCTCTGGGTTTGAACCATGCATGCTTCTCAAAGGCGCACGGGTTCTATAGAACGCCGCTGCCTTCGGCCCCACAACGACTTCTGGGCGCCGAAGTGGCGCTGAACCGGAGACGGCAGGTTGACCTCTGGGCTCGTTGGGCTCGCTTCCGGCGCCGCGGGGTTCGTACCAACCCGCCGCGTGGCGCGGGTCCCTTTTTCCCCATCCCAAAGAGGTCGGACCCGAGGGCGACTCAACCCGAGGCAAAGCGGCTGGCTTTGATGAATCCGATGCTGGCGCTGCTTGGCATTGAAGTGGAAGCGATCGCGATTGTAGCTATAGGCCTTAGTAGGCTTGGCGGGCAGTACCAGGGTCAGAAGGGTTAAGATGGTTAAGACATAAACAGCAACCGGTGCAAAGGTATCAGTGCTTCATAGTGCTTTGGTATGATTTGGTTGACCTTGATCTGTTTACTTTTGTCTCTGGCAAAGCCGGACTTGGCCAGAACTTCTAGTCCCACTCTGCAACCGTCTAAGGGCGCCCGTCCGAACCGAGGCTTCGCCCAGCGGACTATCCCAACCAAAAGCCGTCGATGTCAAACGACCGCACCGTGCGCGACCCGGGCATGACCCAGAAATCCCAGCCCAGTGGACGGCGAAGGCCCGGATTCTGGAGAAATGTGGGTGAAAAGGATCGTCCCGTCCCTTCTTCTGGATCTTCAGGTTCGTCCCGCTCTTGCGCATCGCGCGGAACGCGTCCGAATCGGCCAAGAAAGCATCGAACCCCCCATGTATCGGATGGTGTCACGGACCCGACGGTCAACAGCACAGGTCACCTGTGACGTTTGGGTCGGCACCCTTCATGCCTCGGAGACCTGGTGGAGGTCGGGTGCCGGTCTAACCCTAGGGCTTCAACCACATCTCCTCAGCTTCGGTGGTTAGACCCCCCTGGCACCCACCCCAACCACCGAACCTCAGGAGGTGGCCAGGAGCCCTAGGGTAAGTATATGTGATTTCGGGGTCTGTTCCTGAATCCTTCACCCCTAAGGATCTGCACCCGAAACAAAACCAGGGTTTGGTTGAGGGTACAACTCCAAACCCTTGCGAACTAGAGGGTTCGACCCCGACCGCCATGGAGGAGGGTCCGTTCTGATCCTTAGGGATCTCTCTGTTGCGTCATTGGGACTTCCACTCTTTCCAAAGTGTTCCTATGAGTTTTTGGGTTTTTAAGGCCGAAGGGTGCGCATGCATGGAGGTGTAGTGATGTCCAGTGACAGACCATGTTCCATGTTGGAGGGTCTTGGTATGTGCAGAGATGTGCAGATATGGCTGTGTACTTGGGTACCTGGCGGTCACCTCCGAAAAAAGAACGAATGGAATAGACGACCATGGTCCATGGTCAGCCGGCTCCAGAGTGAACCGGCTCCAGGATTGGACCAAAACAGCGGTGTTCGGCACCGTCTTTAAACGGTGTTCGGCACCATCCAAACGACCATCCGCGTAGATGGACTGATTGCAGACATCCAAACCCCATGGATCACAGAGAATTACATGTAACTCTTGCAGTCATCATGGATGGTGGCTCTCACCATCCGAAAAACCTCCCGGATCCTCCCGGTTTTCACCCGCCCGATGCCGCTGAAGGGCTGTTTTTGCTGCATAGCCCGCCGCCGCGGCACCCGCCGCTTCGAGCATGGCGAGATGGTGGACTGTGGGTCGGGAGGAGGACGGGTGAGTCCACCCCAAAAAGCCGAGGAATCGACGTTTCTCGACACGTTTCTCGGCCAGGCGAGAAGACCTCGACCTGGAGTTGATCAAGTTTGGAGAACACATGCAACAAGGGACGAGGTGTTTGGGACGAGGTTTCACCGGGTGACCTGTAGAGTAACGTGGCAGACCCAAATGTTCGAGGTCCTGTTCGACTGTCCTTGAGACGTTCCCGAAATCAGGTACCCGAGAGTTCACCTGTGTCGGGTGAAGGTTCTTTAACTCTCATTGCAAAACCCTGTAGCCTTCCGAGAAGTTGACCATCCAAAGAGTTCGGTTGACCTGGTCTTTCAGAATTCAATCCATCGACGATGAAATCCGAAGCCAAATGGGTAGAGATGGGCCACGGATTCCTTGTATTGTGCCCTCTTTGAGGCCATGGCTACTAGGGTGGAGGCCATCCCCAGCTTGGAGGCCGCTAGTATAGCAAGAAGCTACGAACGTAGGTTGCCGGGAGATCTGCATTGTAGCCGTCTGGACCGGACAGAGTGCGGGTGGGGTCTGAATGGCCGAACATGTGCGTCTGCTGCGCCAGCTCGGCGCCAGCTCGGGCCAAGAGCGGCGCCAGCTCGCTTTTTGCGACGTCAACCAGGATGGCAAGCGGAGGAGGTCCAAATGACCCGAAAGAAGAACTGGTCCAGTGCTTTGGGTCCGGAATTCGTAGAAGGATCCAATAAGTAGTTTCTATCTGTTGAACTGTTTCATCAATTTTTGTTCGTTTTGTTCATGGACCCAAGGGTTGTCGCAAGCAGGTCCACCATCTGGTCGCAGAAAAAAAGAGAGGGTGAAAGGGAGCATCTCGTCCAATGGTCTGTGAGACTGGACCATTTCACGTAGATTCTTGATTCAAAAAGGACATGGGTTGTATACAAAAAACATCAACAACAGACCTGGACCCGGCTCTACAGGTCGTTCTTCATCGGCTACCATGCAGACGACCCATATTTGGAAGGCAGACCCTGGACAACCCGACATGCTTTAGACGTCTGGTCCTGGAAAAAAGCCTCACATCCACCCAGTTCCACATGTCCTCCCCAGTTCGAGACATGTTCGCCCAGTTGGTGAGCGCTTGGCTGGACACTGGACATCAACATCCCTCTATCCCAACCTGGGCCAATCTTCCCGATGGATTCCTCAAGTCCAGTCTTATGGTCAGGCTTTCGAGCCGTAAAAACAAACAGTGAAAGATCTCTGTAGACCTGGGCCGATGGTTTACTTTTGGTACTCAAACTTACGACCTGTGATTTTAGGGGGAACCAAGGGGATAGCATGTTTGTATAAATATAATTGAAACTGACTTAATTAATAATATGATATATTATATAATTATGCAGAATGTCTGCCTTCTGGCTGGTTTTATGTATAAAAAGGCTGCAATTTTGCAGAGCTGCAAGATCCAAATGTACTGTATAATATACAATACATACGGCAAGGATTCATCGAAGGCTTACAAATTGCACGTTGCTCGCCCAGAAAACTGGCCACTGAGATCCGAAGGATTGTTTCACCAGGGAAAGATGCTGTCATCTTGCAAACGCCAACGCTGTTCAAGCAAAACAAAAGAATTGCTTGTCCCACTGTGGGAGGACCGACAAGTATGTCTTTATCTTTACCATGAACATGTGTGCTTCCCCAAGCCTGCATGGTATCCAGCTTACAATGGATCATGAGGTGTCCTTGGAACAACCTCTACTGAGGCTGGCTTTTCCACAGGGCAAAGCTGTCTCCCAACAACCTGGGTCTGATGCTGGAACAAAGCCGATCTCTGCGCAGGATGCAGATCTTGCACATGAGGCCGCTCTCATGGGAGTGGCCAAGCGAGAAAAAGTTGGGCGTGCAGATCTGCGAATGTCGGTATATCCAAACAATACCCAAACCATGCATGTATGGAATAGTAGTTGTATATATTATGAATATTATATATATATATTATATATATATATATGTATGATTTTGTGTAATATATTATATGCTCTTAGATATGGACAAAAATGTATGTAACTCTTCTATACCAGCACCCGACTTTATAGGTCTCTGGTTCTTCATGCAGTTCAAGAGTGGTAGGTGACGACTTGAGTCGGGATCCTCGTAGCTGGATGCTCTGGGAGGGTGCATCTCCTGAAGTCTCTCCTCAGATTCTGGACGCTGTGAACTTGAAGGCGCGAGGGCATGGCGAGGGCAAGCAGGGCCAGAGGTGGAAGAAAGAGAAGCTCAAACGATGTCCAGTTCGACTAGAGCCAGGAAAGTCCCGAAATCAGGGCCCCTAACTTGTCAGACTTGTCAGACCATTCTCATCGGAAGTAATGATTTTTTCTGAGATCCTGTGAGAAAAGGGGACCGACTTCTTGGGATAGAGACAAGGAGAGGGGCGGCAACGAGGTCCCCCAATGAAATTATGTTGAGTCTCTTGGTCTACCTTGGGCCTATCCCATTGCCAAGGCCCAGTGGATGATAGTTGGGTTGCAGGCCGACATAACTGAAATTGTGATATTCTTGTTTACCGACTGTTGCAGGCAATAGGAGCTACCGTTCAGAGCTGCTCGCGTCATGTGCACCGCTCCGGTCTTATACACTGCTCGGTCGGCCGATGGGGGGAAACTCTGCAGGGTGACCAACGTTCGTAGCTTCGTTTGTGACGCCAATGAGCTACTAAGAGTCTTATGCACCTTGTTCCTAGCAGCTAGCACCTTGTTACGTTCGTAGCTTCTTGCAGTTATCATTACGTAGTAATGCCCTTAGTTACTAGTAGCGATGCACTAGTTAGCTTTTTGTCATTGTACCCACCGACGCGATACCCCACGTCTGGCTCTCCACAGACTGGGGTGGGTGCCAGTGTCGGGTCCAGTCATACCTTCTGAGGTACGACGGGTCGGTGTAGGGAAGTATAAATAGAACAAACTCCAAGACTCGAACGATCTCGAACGGCTCAATTCGCACGAACTGGTGATGTCATGTTGGTTTCTTTGTCCAGAAGTCTTTGGGATTTGAGCCAGGAACACATGGGGAAGCTGTCGAAGTAGTTGGACACTGGACTTCTGGGGAACCAGCTATGACCGGACTTGGCGCGCGGACACGTCGTGTGAAAAACAGACACGTCGTGTTGCGAGCGAAATCGCTTCACCCAAAGCATGAGTAGTCATGAGTCTCTTTTGTGGCACATGCCAGGGGTGGGGTCTGTGGAGTCTGGCCAAGTAACTGAAAGAAAAGAACAGAAGAAAACGGAAAACGGTCTTCCAAGGGACCATTTTCCACTTCCATGTTAGTTCCAGGGAGTGTGCAAGAAGACAGTTGGAGCCAGGATACGCTGTAGCCTTTTCCCGGAGAAACAGGACCAAAAAGGTAATATTTATCTCAAGATAATTCAAGGATGGTCAGACAACCCTGCCCACCCAAAAAAGAGCCAGGGCATGTGCAGTAAAACCCTGCCTCCGGTCGACTTCCGCCCTCCGCCGTTCAGCTTCCTCCTCTTCCCAGCCTGAGAACCGCGTGGGGGATTCTGCCGTGGAAGCAAGGGGTGACGGGGCGGTTGGCCTGGGGGGGGGTCATGGCACCGGGGGTACAACCCTAAGGACCCGAAGCAAAACAAGGGTTTGGTTCGGGGCCCCAAACCCGAACTAGAGGCTTCGACCCCCTCAGCCATGGAGGTTCCAGACTCGGCTTAGGGAAGAAAAGAAACAGAATGGACCAAAGAGTCGGAGAGGTCGGCGCCACCGGGCTCGTGTGGATCCATCAACTGGACGATCCCGACCCTGAAGAGTTGATCCGTGGTGGTCGAACGACGTCCAAAGACCAACCCAGTGGTCAACCGTGGTTTGATGCGCTCCTCTGGAGGGAGTACTCAGGGAGTACTCCATTGCACGTTCCTAATTAGATTCTAGGGACTCTAAATTGAGTGCTTGAGGCTTTGGCATTTGTTTTGGGCCATTGGCCATTGGATGACCGAAATGTTACAACAACTAGTAACTGGACATTCTCACTCCAAATACTACTCCAAATATTTATGGTTCAGGAATGATCAAGTTCTCAGCAAATTGCTATTCTAGTACGAGTACAAAGAATAAACCCATATCAGTACCTGCACCTTGCCTTCCAACAGGTGGTTTTTGGACACCCCTTGATCTCTAAGAGGATTTATAGACACCTCTTGGAGGGTGCTGGTATACCCATATATGACATGTATGATCTATGTCTATAACAGCATAGATCACCAATGGTTCGACCCGTTTTGTAGGCCCCGTCCCAGCCCTTGAGATGCTGCTAGTTGCATGTGTTGGGAGGACAATTTCAACTAACCCCAAGACAAATTAAACCCTAAACCTCAATCATCTACATCTACTTGATTCGTTGGGGGTGCATTTTGGCCTCAAATCCTCTGACTTCACCGCGCGACGTCAGATCGTCTGGGCTCCGGGCGCGCACGGCGCTCGGACCTGAATCACGATTTCAGGGTAGTGGGGTGCAAATGCGGCATGGTCCGAAGCAAAACCGCAGCCTTCAAATCGCCATTTAGAAGAAAGGATGGTTGTTTTGAGTCTCAACTCCTTAGTACCATCCATGTATTTTTGCCCATTGATTCGGGTATTGTGTTAAGAGGTCTTAAGGATCAATGGAAACTATTCCATACATGCCCGCTCCTCGCGGCGAAGGGTCGACCTCCTTTAACCCGCCATTGCCTGACACTCCATGTACATTGACCCCGGTCAACCACCCCAATGTAAATATGGTCCCATATTCTGGGATTGGGATTGGTTTCATAGCCTGAACCCCGAACCCTGAACCATCCATGTATGGAATGGTTATATACATACATTTGGATCATAATAAATGGGGTACATGTCTGCCACTTTTCCATACCTGGATGGTCTGGGGGTCCCCCATTGTTCTTCCATACGGCTGTGAAACACTCTTCCAGCCTTCGATGGATGAATGGTAATGACCTCTGGTGGGTTGACCTCCCAAACGTGGTCTAATGTTAGATTAGTCATTAGCAGGTAGGCTATGTATATATAAATAACTGATATATAAATAAGGTAGCTTAAAAAAAGATAGATCAAATGTAATTTGTTGCTCCTCCAAAATCTGCAAAATGGAGCCAGATTAAGAGACGTGATCCAGAATTATAGAATTCAGGTCCCAAAATGTCCAAATATATATATATATGTATGTTATCAGTACAAAATAATGACTGCAGATTCAACATGAAAGCATAATGACGGCAAAATGAAACCAAATGAAAGCAGAATGAAAGCAAACGAACACGCAATGAAAACAACATGAAGGAAACACAAACATCGTTCAACTTCCAAAACCATAGCTAGAATAGAAGGAGGTCCGCAATTATAGACCCTCTCCATATTGTGGCTCCTGGCTTGCTTTGGAATGGTGTCCCTTTCTCTTCACCTTTCTCTTCATAATCATTATCTTACAAATGAAAGCACAATGACAGCAAAGGAAGGCAAAATGAAAGCAATTGAAAGCACAATGAAAGCAAACGAAAGCAGAATGAAGCAAACGAAAGCATATTGAAAGCAAAACGAAGGAAACGCACAAATCTTCAAATTCCAAAAACATAGTTTCAAAATAAGCCTATTATGAAAAGCTTCACTTCAACAAGCTTGGAAAGGGTACCCCTTACAAGTGCCAAGGATCCAGCATAGAAGGAGGTCGACAATCAGAAACCCTCTCCCTATTGTGGCTCCTGCTTTGCTTCGGAATGTGTTCCCGTGATGTTTTCCGTTCTTTTGTTATCATTCTCTTACAAATGAAATAAGCAGAATGATGAAAGCAGAATAAAAGCAATTTAAAGCAGAATGAAAGCAAATGAAAGCGAATGAAAGCAGAATGAAGGCAAAATGAAAGCAAATAGAATGAACTCCACAGGAGAAAATCTCACATGGACCCCCAAAAAAACCTGAGAAGAAGAACAACACAGAAATCCCGGAGAAGTTGACCCCTCCGTTGTTGATACATGTTAATACATCTCAAAGAATAATGACATACGGATAGCATGGTCCCCGTTGTTGATACATGTTGTTAATATGGATCTCGCATATTCTGTTCATCTCCTGTCAACCGTTTGGTCTCCTGATCGCCGGTTTCGGCATCGAGCGGTGCTGGGTCTCCCAGACTCACGGGTGCGGCGATCCTCCTGAGGAGAAGCGATCCGAAAAGAAGCGGTCCGTGCGTGAGGTCATGTCTACAGAAATGGTAGCTGTGAGGACATGGTTTTCGAGTGTTTTCGAGAGCTGAAGCCTAGCAATCCTTTGGATGTCCTTCTTCCGCAGTCCGCAAATCCAGATCCGAGATAAAAAGAAAAACGTAAAAAACAAAAGACGGTTTCTCTTCTCTCCTGTTCTTCCAAACTTCTTGCCCTTCGTTAAAAGACCCTCGTCGCCTCGTCGCCTCCGGCCACTCCCCTCGGCTCCTCTGCTCGGTCACGGTCACGGCGGAAGTCGTCCCTGGGGAGTGACGAGGAGTCGCAGAGGAGAGGGCCCTGGCGAGTTTGGTCAACCTGCAACAGAAACCAAACCAGCCTATTGCAGCACCCTCCAACAGGTCACCAATTGAAACCTGTTAGGGCCTAACAACCCTCCATGTCGGAGACCTGTTGGAGGGTGCTGGTTGAGGCGCAGAAATATGGAGGTCGAGGGTTTTTACGATCGACGTGAAGCCCCGAAGTGGACACGGCACGTTCCTGAAATCAGGTGTTGAATGGGTCAGACCGTCTTTGACTCTCAGGGAATCCTTTGCATACCCGTGCCTATACCCAAACTATGTATATAACTAATAACCGGCCCAACAAACCATGAAAGACCTGGTTTTTCGGAGCCCAAAAACCGGCTTCTATTGCAAGTGCACCTCTCTTCGGAAAACGAAGTAGGGGCTGGTCTGACTACCTTGGCCACTGACGTTGTTCAGCTTGCCGGTGGCGCCACAGCGACACCATGCCACGGATGGGATCCCGGCCCTGGACCCTCCGTTCGGTGCTGGGTTGAAGACCGGTTCGATGGTGGCGAAGCGCACCGAACTTGGAAACACCCGAAAACACCATGAGATTGGCGAACCGGGTCCGCTACGGAGTGGTTGACCCGCAGAGCCACACGGATGCTGCCAGATGCTCCAACGGATCTTCCGACATCGCTGCTCGCTGCTCGGTGCTCCGACTCGCGCGCGGTCGCTGCACCTCAAACCGTCGCCGGTGTGTGTTCCACCGTTCGTCACCGCTGGCGTCGTCGCTGGGGTCGCTGGGTCGATCCGATGCTTCGACCAGGGAGGATGGGTTTTGCCTGGAAGTCCAGTCGACCCAAATTCTTACCACATTTAAAACGTCTGACGATGACGAACGGTGATCCAAGTTCGGAATGTCCTGAAACCTTCCGGTGGTGCCCAAAAAAGGAACTGGACTTCTAGGGTTTTACTGAGGATGTTACACTACAAAACCAGGGCGTTCCCAATTTTCTTGAACCAAACAGACAAAACCAGGGTGCAGGCGTGCAGGCCGTTTGGGGAACTTTTGCACTTTGCATAAGCCGATGGTCCAGTGGCCGCCATGCATCTCATTCCGTTTGGTGGAAGGGAAGAACCCCAGCTTCCTCAGAGTGTAACCTTTTTGTTCTTCCCATCCCGTCAGTGACCGTCAGTGACCCGGCCTGTGCAAGTGACTCCCTTGAGATCAGCAGAAATCACACCCCGACCCAGCCAGAACCGGCCCAAACCGGGCAACCAACGAAAGACTAAACCGGTTCTCGGTGTCCAGGTGATGGAGACCGGAATCGAGTGAGAAGCATCTCGTAGGGATTTGGACCTGTTCATCTGCCCGGAGAAGGGCTTGAGTCGTACCGAAGCGTTTTGTTTCGGTGGGACCGGGACTGGTGCCATTGTCGGGTCCAGTCATACCGAACCTGAGGTTCGGTACGACGGGGCTGTTCAGAGTTCTTTTTAAGGTGTCATGAGCTCCAACCTGGTTGTTTGGACTAGGGGAACTGTTTGCCTCTTCGACTAGGCAGCGTATTGGCAGCGTATTGCAACCCAACAGCAGACAGCAACTCAAGTCATTGGGACTTGACATGACATGTTGCAAGAATGCTGCAATAACTAAATTAAAATAGTTATGAAACAGTATATATAACATGGAAGATCCTGGAATGTGACATCTGAGTCTCGCGGACGTTCTTCATCTCGCTTCCTCTCTTCTTCTTGCCGCCTCGCAGCGGTGGCCGCGTTTCTTCCCGGCGGCCCAAACGAAGAAGACGGCTTCCCTCCCAAGCTCCAAGCTCCGCGCCCAGTTCCGACCGGGTGGCCACGGTGATCTTGAGTCCCAGAAGGATAGATCTCAGGTTTTTTGGACCAAACCTGCAAGGAACTGGCGCCCAAACAACATGGAACTACCGGGAACAGCTTCCTTCTTTCAAGCGCCCTCCAGATTCCCAAAGCAAGACCTTCCAAGTCCGGTGGCTTCTGGGCAGAAGTTTCTGGGCACACTCGGTCTTGGAGGGGTCGAGGAAGATGACTCCGCCAGGTTTGACCTTCTTCAATCCATGGGGAGCACGAGTGCTCCGCATGTGGCAAGCTTCCTCGTTGAAAGGTCCGCTTCCAGCGATTCCAGATGCATCCAAGTCCCTTCTCATGTTCTAGAATGGAAGCCCACAGCTGTTCCGCGTGTCATGGCGCATGTGAGAAGGGAAATGGGTCAAGTCGCCTGGAGCCCGACCGGGTGTCTCGTCTGCTCTCCGCCCAAGGGCAGGTCGACCGGTCCACCAACGAACTTCCATTTTGGACCCACGTGGTACGTCCTCCGTAAGATGAGTCACGAGTCATGAGTCATGACTTCCAAGGTCTGCCTACAAACTCCCCTTAGCAGAACTGATCGAGTCTTTTTGTTCCAGGAAAGGCGTTGCCTGGGAGGTCTCCCTGTTTCAACACACACCCAAATGGCGTTTTTGGGTGTCGTTCGTGGCGGTCTCGCGCTCCATCCGCAGCTTTGTGCGGAAGTTCTGCAGCTCACCTCAGATCTGCTATGAAAAAGATTTCCCGTGTAGAAGTAGATTCGACTCGATTTGGCCCAACCAAAGTAAGGGAAAGTCCTAGACTCGGGTCACCTATACCAGCACCCTTCGTTTGAGGTGCCTATAAATAGCTTCTTAGAGTTGATTCGGGGATGGGTGTCCAAAAACCACCGGGCAAACGGAAGGTGCTGGTAGTTAGACCATTGGCTTTAACCTTAGAAGTCCAAGAATCGACTCGATTTTGACCGACTGAAGGTGTCAGGAAGTTCCAGAACTCGGATCACCGTTCGTCAGACCATTCTTATTATAGTCTTCGACTCCCAGAATATGTACTCCCAAGCGGTTTAGGGTTTAGGCGCCTTGTGCAACCACCAGGCGACCTGGGCCTTCTGCAACCTAGTTAGACCATTTGCTTTAAAGTATAAGTCTTGAACTCCCGAAAGTTTGGTCCAGAGCAGAGAGCCACGTCCGTTTGGTCCAGAGTTCCGGGCATCTCTTGCTGGGTCAGTTCTGCGATTGCCGAGGAAAAAATGTGTCCCAACCACCTTGAAGGTGGTATCTGGGTTTATCCTGTAAAACAGAACCCAAATCCTCGTGGTTTCATCAAGATTTGTGTTTGGGGGTTAGGTTCCATGCTGGTGTAACATTGTTCTGTTATGTTGTGTTTGTTAAGGGCTGCAAAACCATGACCAACCAGGAACACCATGCAACAGCTAAGTCAAAACGGCTCTTGTGAAGGGGTTTCGCCCGCCACCTCGTGTCTCAGTTGACCCTAGCCTTCCAGGCTTAGCCTCCCGAACCACCATTCTTTTGCTAAGGATTTCACAATCCCTAGACCTCCAAGTACCTTCTGCACTTGGACCAGGACTACGAAGCCGCTTCGTCCCGGACCGCTGCGGACCGGTAGGGTCGAGAAGCGGTCGGACTGTCCCAGATCGGTATGTCCTGGGTGTCCAAGGTTCGGTGCAGCTGCCAGAGGTGGGTCAGAACCCGAACGTGACAGGCTATCCTAGTTCACCCCTAACGTGACAGGTCCTAGTTAAGGTCACTGGCTACCTCTGTTGGTGTTGGGGGTCACACAGGTGGAACGGTGCTTTCTTCACCGACCACGTGGCTGGAGGCTGCGGCCTTGGTCCGGGCAGAGCACCTTGGCGGCGAGACGGAGGGAATGTCCATGCAAATGGAAGGGGTCTCTCTAAGAAAGGGGCACTTACCAGCTTCTTCAGTTCATGACCTGAGTCCAGAGTCCCAAGTGCCTGTTTGTGACCTCAAACCAGGAGATCAAAAGGTCACTTTGAAGAACCAGGTCGGAGCCTTTGGTGGGCTCCCGTGTCGCATCTGTTAGAAGCGTGCGCCAATTTCTGCGATCTGCTGCGCGCGTTCTCATTTCAGCGACGTGGCGTCGTTCTCATTGCTTGAGCGCCCTAGCATCCTCAAGGGTCCTAATCACCATCCAACCATCTCGTCTCACCATCTGCCAGGTCTTGCAACGCTGCAAAACCGCCCAGTTCGGCAGAACTGTTGCATGTCAATCCAGGTCTCACTACAACCATCTATACCCCTGCAGAGGACCACATGGAGCCCCAAAACCATTCGGTTAGGGGGGTGGGGCTGGTTTGGGATCCACACCAAACCAGGGTAGGTTGACCTCCGACTCGCAGTCCTTAAAGAAAACAAAGACTAAAGACTAAAGACGTCCAACTCTTGGATGATTACGGCTCAAAGGAAGGAATCCAGTAAAAACTCGAGGATTGACCCAGTTCGGGACCCATGAATATGTATATATCCTTCAAGCAAAACCATGAATTCCGGACACCCATTGGATCGTCCAGTGTTTATGAGTTCTTTGTCCCTTTGAGGAGTCGGGCATCTGCCAGGCTTGCATCACCTGGAAGGCCTCCTTCTGTGATGCCCTCCTGGCGAGTTCGAACTCATGTCCAACTCGCAAGCTGGTCTCTTGCCGGTGCACGGTCAAACAGCTTAGCGTGGTGCCAATCTGAACTCAGGTCCGGTCGCCAATCCATGCCAATCCCACTACGGACTGGAAGAAATACCTACAGAAAGACCCAAACTCATCCAAGTTCATGGGCCAATCTTCCAGTCCCATGGATAGTTGTGGAATTGAAAGGGTTCATGCTTCGGAACCCCCCGCGATCAAGGTCGGGTCCCATCCGGACTCGGCCAGGCCGCTTCCAAGAAGGAAGCGCCATGGGCCAATTCCATGGCGCATCTGGTGTGAACATAGGGTTTAGGGTTTTTGGTTTAGGGTTTAGGAATTCACGGAGGGGGGCGCTGCAGAGATTGGAATAAGAATCCGTCCCATGGATGGGTAGCTTTAAGATGTTCTAAGAATGTAGGCTTCGGTCAAACCTAGCCTTCCAAGACCATTAAAGAAGAAAGCTTGACCTGACTTTGTAGTGCAAAAATATGTTTTTAACCATCGTTGTTCGGGATTCAGGCTATAAAATTGGTGGTTGGACTCATATAGGATCTCTACCTGGACCTGAAAAGGGGGGTGTCCTGTCTGCAGGTCCCTTTGTAGTGTAGGGGCTTCCATCCAGGTGACCCCTTTCAGTCCCAGACAGCAGAGCTGACAGCTCTACGGCCGCGCAAGACCGAGGGAAAGCCGAAGAAGACCGACGAATAGGGGCGACCTGGTGAAGGAACAGAGGAGTGGCAACAACCTCCCCTGCCCGGAAGAAATCCTCGCAATCCGATCAATTTGCAACATTTTTGTTTGCCCTCCCTCAAAGAAATGGAGGCTGGGGCACCGAAAAGATAGAAACACTCTTTGAGGGGCTAGATTGCTGTAGATCCTATCACCACCGCTTTGCCTTTGGACCCCCTGAAAATCGGTGAACATCAATCATCCCCTCCCCCACCGTTGGTCCAGGCTCCCCGGTGCTCCTCCAGCGCCATTGCTCCACCAGCTGCTCCTCGGCGCGCCTCTGCCGCAGCGCCATTGCCTCCCACAGCTCCACCAAGGCGTGACGCCGCGAGGCGCCCTTGAAAAGCGCCATGGCCTCACGCTGACGCTGCTGCCGTGCCCAGCGCCGCGCCAAGAAGCGATGCCAAGCCTTGGATGGAAGCGCCGGCCCATGAGCTGGATGGAACAAGAAGGAATTGTTTGACCACCTGGACCTGGAAAAGGGGTGTCTTGGACAGGGAAATCCCCGCATAGTAGTGGACTGGGCCTTTTCCAGCCAGGTGACCCCTAACGGGTACGGTGCTGGCATGTATTTCAAGTGCCATATAAATACACCCTGAGGGTGACTAACATGGACCCTAAAAACCACTGGGTTGTAGAGGAAAATCGTCTTCCAAAGTTCCATTTTCAGGTTCCATGTTACTCTTCCCGGGAGTAAACAGGGACTGTCGACATGCCATCAGATCACCTCCCAGCGGTACCGTTCGTTCGTTCGTTCATTCGGAAGGAAGGAAGCAAGGAAGGATTCCGGGGGCCTTCCTTCATCTGCACTCACTGACTGAGTGACGAAAAAAATACTTCGCACATGGCTGCTGGTCTGCAGTTGTTCTGTCTGAGGATCTTGGGAGGCAAACTGGTCTTGGGTCAGTCTCCTACCACCAAAGCCAGAGGGATTTGGGCCTAACATGGGCTAACCAAAACCGAGGGATCACAAGAATTTCCCGGGACCATTCGGGACCCTCATGCCGCATGCCATGAGCCCTTTGTCTACTTCTGAACACTATCTGCGACAACGTTCTCGCCACAGTAGCCACCCAAGTCCTTTGCCGCAATGTCTTCCGGCATTTTGTCCGGAAGAGCTCGAAGCATCGTGAGGAGTTCGAAGAACTTTGAGCCCAGGTGTGCCAAAAGCGCCAGGCAACTGGCCTTGGATGACATGCACCGTCCGGTCATCCCCCATCCATTTGAGGGGTCGTCTTACAGGGCTCACGGGTGTTTGTTGTCAAGTGCTTTTCCAATCGTTTCCAGCCTGGACTTGTAGACACACCGAAGCAGGCACTCCGAGACAGTCATGGGTCTCCAGGGTGACCCCTGGAAAAAACCCAATTCACTACTGGGCGCCACACATGTATCATATAAAATGGTCGCCACCTCCCACACAGAAGCAAAGGAAAGACCCATACTCATATGTCTCAGCTTTACCTTGGACCTCTACCAAGGAGGTTTGTCACCCAACGAAATGGTCCTAAAGACCCGCTTCAACATCACCAAGAAAGTGTTTATCTTGCACGTATACTGGCACATATTACGGCATTGCATCTGGCATTCTACCTGGCACATTTTCTGGCCTTCTATCTGTGGCACATGTTCTGACATTCTCTTGACAGTCTGATATTCTTTCTATATATTCTGACCGTATATCTGGCATATGTTCGTTTCCATTCTATCGGGCCGACCTGGCAGCTGGCAACAAAAGCTGCGATTCTTTATGACCTTCTTTCTTCAGCTCCGGTGGTGCCGATGGTGTGGCGCCTCTGACTCTGTGTGTTCAAGCCCGGTCCGGGGACAGCGAGCTGCTTTCAACCCTCACCTGGCAGGTGGTGAATAAAGTGGAATAAATAAATGTGTACCAGGACCCTTCAAGGGGTGTCCTGGCTGAACTACCCCACACTACCTATAGGCTTCCATTGGGCAACCCTTGGAGGGTCCTGGTATAAATGTAATATCATGTACAGTAATTAAACTAAATAAAGTTCTTTCTTCTACGCACACCGAAATCTGCCTGATGCACTTGCAGAAAAGAAGGCATCCGGTCCACGAAAATAACAGGTGAAGAGAGCAAAGCTCCAAGCAACAAGCGAGATCGTAGCAGCTGCCGCCTCTTCTGCGCCAAGTCCTGTGCCTGCTGGGCGCAAGAGGTCCAGAAGTGCATCCAAGCAGACCAGCTCCGCACCAGGAGCCTGGCGCAGCAGGAGCTTCACCCATCCGGCTGGCGGTCGTTCCACGGTTCATGAACCGTGGATGGTGTCTGGGTGAGCCGCCCAAGCGTGTAGAAGCTGGCCCATCCACGGGACTCGTGCCGTTGTGCTGGGGCTTCCCCAGAACCAAAGAGGTCGAACAATGGAGATCCTGACAGAATCTCACCCTATAGGCTTCCTGGCCAAGCATGAATTGAATAGGCGGGTCATCCCGAATCAACTAAGGATTGGATTTTACACTACAAAAACCAGGTCCTTCCCATGGTTTTCATCTGTTTTAATGGTCTTGGAAGTCTAGGGAGATTGGGACATCGATCTACTCCCGTTTGGCCCGGGAACGACACCCAAACGAGCTTGGTCCGATCTTGGTCCGAACTCCGAAGAGTCCATGCTTCGGGACGTTCAGCCGATGAAATGCATGGTGGGCCGGAATCCATCCGTCTACAAGATCAACCTCTCCGAGCTGGAAAGGCCCAACAATTCCGCAAGAATTCCCCGCCTCTAAGGCTTGTAAAAGGGGACATGAAGCCGACACAACATGCTTTCAGACTGGATGATTTGTTCAATCCACATGCAGATCTTCCAGATGGTCCTTCGCACTCACAAGATCCAAGCTTGCTTGGGACCTCGAAAAAGAAGCGACCGTGCAGTGGATGCCTAGGAAAGCTTCTGCAAATTGAAACCTGGAGTGCAAAGTGCATCTCGAGCGGTCAGAATGCGTCACAGTCAACTTGGCAATCTTCCAAAAGTCAAGGACACATGTAGCAATCACAGAACGTTCGTTGCATGGAGGTGGTTTCGGGGTCAATAATGTGGGATAATGTGGGCATGTATACCACAAGCAACAATCATCTGAAGTCCGAAGAGATGTTAGTGTAAGATGATCAAGTAATCCTGTCATGCAGCGTCTGGGAGATGATGAAGTGATCCTTCCATTCTTCCTCCCAGGCAACACCCACATCCCGCCGCTCCCCGCCTCTCCCGTGCATAGCAGGTCGCCCGCAGTGGCAGCAACCGCCTTCGCGCACCGTGCGCGGCCCGCGCCGCCCAGAGCCGTAGCGCTTCGGAGAGCCGGCGAGCACGGCACCGCCGTTGGAGCAGAGCCTGAGAGGGAGAGGTCCTGAGGTCCAAGGAATCAGGTGCGTGCGGGATTGGGTTTTTCAGGGATTGATGTCACAGAGAACGTTTAATGTACTCTTGATGTGTCTAAATCCCCCATATGAAGAGGAAGTCCCATTCAAATGGGGTCTGTACCTCAAATCGCGCACACCCCATAAGTCCTAGTGATAACCTTAGCAATCAGATAAGCAAACTAGTTCAATGGCCCATAGCGGATATAGTGTATCATCAACCTCCAGAGCCACATCAGGTTGTCTTTTGGTCAAGCACATGGGGTGTCAACATAACAAGACTGGTTTGGATTTTCTGCAACCAGATCCAGTGGCCATGCCCCTCCACACCTCGCCACAAAGATGATACGGGAATCCGACAGAATTGGCTTTGTCTTTTATGCAATATCCACAACGTTATCCCCCAATCAAGATTCGGGCAGGTAAAATTTGGACTGCACAATGAGTGTACAGACCCGGTCCAAATGCTCCCCACTGAATTTCCTCGCGAGACGTACCGAGTAGTGTCGGAGTCCTTTCGATAGATGGTTAAGCACAAACAGACGGTGTTCATCCACAAAGCTTCTTCCAACCTACACACAGCAGGGAGGGACAAGCCTGACGCGTTTAGGTTTTGCAATGGATCAGAGATGTGGGATTTCTAGATGCCCTAAGCTACCAAATACAGCCGAAGTGTACAAATGGATACATAGCATTCTGCTCACGCTCCCCCACAATCCTCCGTATAACACGGAGATTGAACTCCCGCCTATTCCTGCCGATAACCCTAAACCTGAATGGCCTGGAGGGCCAGAGATCTCACTTCCCAAAAGGGACAACTTCTCTAGGTTGGTACGCAACCACATGGCAAGGAAGAAAAGCTTGGATCGAATTCACCACCCGGAACCTGAGAAAAGGTGCGTAGTGCAGTGCAGTCATTTTGTCTGGTTCAGCCTTGGAGCCCTAGGCATCTTTCGTTTGATCTCTATGCAATCGACCCCATTGTTTCGATGGAAAGCATCGTAGTGTACATAGCTCAGCGGCTTTCAGGTGTCACTCTTGACCAGATACACCCACCCGTACCCGCTCCACCCGTGGGCAAGGGACTGTTGGTGGGAGCGAGCCCGCAAGTCCGCGCATTCAAATGGGGTCGGTTTATTAATCAAGAGTCCACATTACATATGGTTCACTCTCCCTGGAACTAACATGGAAGTGGATGGCATGGCCTGCTTGTAGAGAAGCTTGGAAGATAGGCGGTGTCCTGTAGATCCAAATTCTATGAAGCTGCAGAAAGTTCTAAGTCTGGCCGCTTGAATCTCTCAGAATAAGATTGAAGAAGGTGACCACCCAAAATGATGCCTGAACACCTTCAAAAACACTTCAAGAACACCTTTTCAAAGCGGACTTCTGTCCAACGACACCATGCCACGTGGACGTCTGTTCCAAGCCCACCCCCCGCGCCCCTCCCCCCCCCCCGCGCCTCCCGCGCCCGCGCCGCGCAGCGGCGGCCGAGCTGGGTTTGGGTGTTGTGGTGCCACCAACGCAGCAAGCGTGCGGCTCCACGTCGGGCGCTGGAGCGGCGAAGCCAGGCAGATGCCCTGATGGTGGAGGGGTGGATGGTTTTGAGGACGTGAAACGAAGGGTTGTGAATTCCTGCATCTTCCTACTATGCAACATGTCTGCCTCTTCTATAGAACCAGCCAAGTTCGACAGAAATGTTGCACAGTTGGAAGATCCTGGTACAATCCAATGCGCCACGATGTCTTCCAACTAGTGCAACCTCTCTGTCTCACATGGCAGAACTTCTGCATGGTTGGAGATATTCCAGGCATGGCAGAACTTCTGGCACTGAGAGATGGGGGAAGAAGTCCAAAAATTAAGTAGATGGACCGCCGACAGTTCGAAAGCCATGCCGACTTTCGCGCACCCACGGATTATACGGATGTTAGTGTTTCAACATGATTCCAATGATTCAACCAAAAGCCAGGAGCAACGTGACCCAAGAACACCCCCAGAGCCATGGATCTTCCACCTGGACTTCGTGGCACAGTTTCGGACTTCGTGGCCGTCCAAAGCCACGCGGCGGAAGGGGAGGAAAGAGGGGGTCCCATTGCTCCAGAAATCCACCAGGTCAGGCGACGTGTCTAACAAGGCACCAAAGATGTCGGTTTTTCTGCAAGGGATTTCATTATTTGGCATGTATATGAAGAAGGGGGTTTAGTTCATCAAGATTCCATGGTCTAAAGTTTAAAGTCTCCCCATGTCGCAAGTCAACTGACGAGGATTCTGACCGCCAGCAAGTCATGTTGCTGATGAGATCAGGGACCCGAAAAACATGTGAGACAATTCAAGTGTCTTCCCACAGGGTGAAACCAACAAATCCTCACACCAAGCCAACGACCCTCAAGCAATTCTGGTTTTCATCACTCCCGGCACCTTCGGTTGCGAGTCTTCCGATGCCATAAGATCAGGGCAGATGCCAAAGAATGCTGGCGCCGCGCCTCCTGTCGACATGCAAAAAGCACCACATGACCGTCTCTCAATCAACAAGCCGGCTGCAAGCCAGTCTCCTCGTCTCCTGAGTTAGACTGGGGGCTTGGGATGGTCTTGGGTCTGGGGAATGCTGACTTCATTCCAATACTAGTGCCAGCAGCAGCAGCAGCAGCAGCAGGAGGAGTAGGAGTAGGAGTAGGAGTAGGGGTAGGGGTAGGAGTAGGAGTAGGAGTAGGAGTAGGAGTAGTAGTAGTAGTAGAAGTAGTAGTAGTAGTAGTAGGAGTAGCAGTAGCAGTAGCAGTAGCAGTAGCAGTAGCAGTAGGAGTAGTAGTAGTAGTAGTGGTAGTAGTAGCGGTGGTAGGAGTAGCGGTAGTAGCAGTAGGAGCAGTAGTGGCAGTAGTAGCAGCAGTAGCAGTAGCAGCAGTGACAGCAGTGGCAGCAGTAGCAGTAGTAGCAGTAGTCGCAGTAGCAGTAGTAGCAGTAGTAGCCGTAGTAGCAGTAGTCGCAGTAGCAGTAGTCGCAGTCGCAGTCGCAATAGGAGGAGTAGTAGCAGCAGCAGTAGTAGTAGTAGTAGTAGCAGTAGCAGTAGCAGTAGCAGTAGTAGTAGTGGTAGTAGTAGTAGCAGTAGTAGTAGTAGTACTAGTTTTAGTGCAGCAGTAGCAGGAGCTGTAGTAGTGGAGATAGTAGTAGCAGTAGCAGCACTAGCACTGGCAGTAGCCGATAGCAGTAGCAAGAGTAGCAGTAGCAGCAGTAGCAGGAGCAGCAGCAGGGGTAGCAGCAGCAGCAGCAGCAGCAGCAGCAGGAGTAGTAGTAGTAGTAGTAGTAGTAGTAGCAGGAGGAGTAGTAGTAGTAGTAGTACATGTCTCGTAGTAGTAGCAGTAGCAGTAGCAGTAGTAACAGCAGTAGTTGTTGCTGTTGCTGCTTTTTTCTAGGAAAAGGAGTGTAAACTTATATTTTAGCTGTCGTCCCAAGTACGACTTGTTTAAGGGTTGGATAGAACTGAAGTTCATCTTTTACGCAAACGTCCTAACCACACGTGTCCCGTGTGTGTTTTTTTAAAGTTTCTCAAGCACCTCTCTTGATTTCAATGGCGAAGCAACAAAACCAAGTCCAGAACACCAGCACAGTCCAAAAAACGAAAACACTTCCTGGACTTGGTTTTGGACCCTTGGACAAACCAAGTCCAGCACCCCTCTTTTTCAAGAGCAATGGTGCCCCGGTGCCCCGCAAAAGATCGCAAGCAGTGCTGCCGAGCCGGTCAGAACAGAAAAGACCGTTAGTCCCGAGTTCGGTTGACCTGGTGTTGTGGTGAAAAATCCTTAGTCCCTAAGGATCCCTAAGGATCCCCTCCTTAGAAGGGGTCGAACCCTCCAAAACAAGGGTTTGTACCATTAAACCCCTTGCTTTTGAGGGTGCGGATGCTTAGGGGTAAACCAACTGGTTCTTCATAAAAATTGACTGTCAATGGTCGGCCAGGAATGCTAAACCCGAGGCTTTGACGAATCGAAGGTTCATCCCCAAGACCTCCGACCTGGCCTTTGCAGGCCGAGGTGTTCACTGTTGTCCTTCTCGTAAGAAGGACAAGGGTGGCAGAAAATAGTTCACATGGCCTTCCGCATGGTCGGTCACTTCAATGAAAAAGACTTCAAAAAAGGTCGGTATGGATTTTGCCAGGTATGGATTCCCTCCAACTCATAAACATGGAAGTGGAAAACCACCTGTTTGTAAACAAGTGTTTCCGAAGACTTACACCGTAAAGATATATGTAAAGATCTGTCCAGATTCTAGATCATCCACCCAGAAACCGTTGTTGTCCGTTGTTAAACGCAGAAACGGTGATGCACCGGGCGGTCCTTCGGTCCCACCCCTAACTGCCAAGCAAAAGCACGGCCAACCGAGCCACTCCGTTGGCTGTCACTCCGTTGGCTGTGGTCGATCCCCCCTGTTGGCCACCATTCAAAGCATCTAGTCGCGCAAGCAACCATTGGTTGATCTTGTCAACACACAAGCACGGCAGGGATCGCTGGTTGATCTTTATGTTGACATCCCCCCTTGGAATTCAGGTACAGGAACATGTGTTCGTCGAAGCCTGCGTGAGCAGTGTGTACCACTGAGACTTGAAAACACACAGGTCCTTGATCAACTGTCGTCACTGCGGTTTTGATGGAGCGAAAGTGCAGGAGTCATGTCAGCCGCATCTACCATGTTGAGATGGGGTGGAAATAGTGAACGTCAGTATCAACAGTGAAAATCTGACAGTCTTCCAAAGTGACTTCAGTCAAATCAAAAATCCACCCAACGAATCTTTCAATGGCTTCTTCATGCTTTTTCAGTCTCCAAGTCTAACCCTTGTCGCCACACTCGTGTGACCCGAACCCGGAGGGATTGGAGATGAGAGTTCTCAATCAAAAAGAGGCAAATGCGACCCTGGACCCTCCGTTCAGCTCGGATCCTGGAGTGGTCTGGACTTCCCTTCCCACAGCGGCTCCGAGTTCCGAGCACCGAGTTCCGACTTCGTCGTGTCCCCACTCCTGCGCTGCGGCGCTGAGCCGCCGCAGGATCTCGCCCTGGCCGGTTCGGGAACTGGTGTCCGGTTCAGGTGTCTCTGGTTTTGTACGAAGAGAACCAAGAAACCAGGGGAAGGACCTGGTTTCTTGGGTCGTGTCAAATCCGTTGGTAAAAAACAATGGTGGTGAAGATAAACTTAAATTAACAGTAATTTGAAAAGCCTAGGGCCGTTGGCTTTCAGGTCGACTCTTTATTCTTAAAACCAACCAAAAGGTGTTAGAGGTTTTGCCATCCATGTCTGTGGGGGCTTTGTTGATCAAGAGTCTAAGGGGTCTTTACCCCACAACTCTTACTCAGGAGCTGCAACTCAACCAGGTCAAGCGAACTCTTTTGATGGTTGAACGGAAGTCAGAAATGGACAAAGTGTCCTGGTCCAGGAGGTTGACATGTGGAGAACCATAGTCATTCGAGAATGTGGAGAACGATCCGTGACGTCAGGATTACTTGATGTCAGAAGCCAAGTAGATACGTGACATGGCAGAAGAAGAGACTGACAAACCAAAAAGAAGAAGAACCAAGTAATTCCCGTAAGCATCCAACCGTACCCCACGAACATCGACGGGGTCGTATGTGGCCGAACGGCGTCGCGGTGGCTTCGGCGTGGACGCTGAACGGTGTTTCGCTTGGTGGAAACCTACTGCGTCCACTGGCCGCCAATCCCAAAAAGTGAACACATGAGTAACTAGGTAGCTATAAAGGGCATCGCGGCATCGCTGCAAGGACGCGACGAACGTAGCTCCTGGCATTACTAGGCACCAAAAGCTACGAACGTAACAAGATCCCAAAATGTGAATTGAACAAAATACCAGGACCATCCAATAGGTGTCCAATGGTCTACACTACTTAGAGATGTCCATTGGACACCCATTGGATGGTCCAGGTATGTTGTTGTTCTTTTGTGTTTTTGCTACATGTTCTTTTGTCTCTTTGAATCCTTTCCCAGATGTTGGGAGATGTGATGAATTTGCATGCCAATGATGGACTGTGACATGCGGAGGAAGCGTGAAGACGTGCAAAAGCTGTTAAGGTCTTCCTCCGAAGACTCCGAACCATCTCCCCTTAAACCATGAAACCATCTGCAAGCCATCTTCAAAGCCTCACATCTTTTCAGGTCGCCTTCCCTTTGTGGCCTTTGTAAGAAGAATCCCCAAAAAGGAAAACCGCCTGGGAGAGCACAGGTTCGCTCATGCTCCCAGAGCTGAGGATCTGCCTGAAACAACGGCGGCATTGCCCGACAGAGCCGTCTGGTTTGCAGGGTCGCCCAAAGCATGGATACCCTAGGCTTCCAAGCACTCCACCATTCATTCAATTGGCTGAATCCCGCACAACTGTTTACTGAGGACCCTACAAACCAGGTTAGGGTGTGTGTAACATACATACCCAGACTACTGTTCATAGATGGGTGGTTTGTTCAGGCGTCTTCAAGGTTTTTGTGGCCAGTATTCCAATCCAATTGTTGGGGATCTATGATTGTTGGTACATCTAGTTGGCGCCGCTAGATAAGAACACTTGGAATAGGGCATGGTGGAGGACCACATGTCACACCTGAAGAATCTGAAAACCTCTTCCTGGCGCTCGAACGACCCGAAGCAAACCCTTTTCCATTTGAGGGTAAAGATTCTTAGGGTAGTCACGGCTGAACATAGCCCAGCGATTTGAGCACTGCAAGGAAGAGGTTGGGAAAAGCACTCATTTGTACTCCAAGGAAGACACTCCTCAAGGAGTCTAGGACATTCCAAAGCTGGCACTCGAAGTCCGTTTCTTCGCGCGAAAAAAGAAAACGCACAGACTTGGCAGACTTTGCTTCTCACAACGCACGGACTTTATGTTGGACCTCTCGGATGTTTGTTGGACCACTCGGCACGTAAAGCACGGTCAGGTGGACTGGGGGGGCCAGTGAAAAAACTCCGTACTCGTCAGATAAATAGGTGCATGTGCTTGAAGAGGGAGATCCGCCAAGGGGGGTGGAATTGCGGCCTTTTTCCCTCTTCCGGTCATGTCGGTCTCTGGATCTGTCGCAACACCGGAGGAACAGTTCATCCTGAAGACAAAGTCCGAAACCGTACCACGAACCGACAGGCCTCGGGTGCTTCTTTCGACCCGGCAGGCCTCGGCCTATCGTGTGTTGAGTATCCAACAGTCTACCTTTGTGGGTGGTGTTGGCAGGGGTTTCTCCTTCATGAACAGAAGGAAGGCCAGCCCCCCCCCAAGAAGCTCCGATGGCCGCTTTTTCATGGGACATCACTTCAAGAAATGGGTGTGGGACTTGGGTGACAGCGTTGTCCCTGGACTTCCGTTGATTTCGGAAACTCCACTGACACTCAAGTTTTGTCCGGGTCTCTGCTCCCGTCGACTTCCGTGCACTCCCAGAGTATATACTGTAACCCTACAGGAGTTGACGGAAGACGATACTTATATAACTTTTGCGAAGGATTCAGGAAGTTCCCGGCATCAGGTACGATAGGACTCGTCAGACCCTTTGTTTACAATAGTACTTTAGACTCTCAGGTACGGTCGGATCGTGAATTTGATGTACCATGCAAAAATCCAGGTAGACATGATGATCTCTTTTCCTCTATGTATTGAAGCTACCCTGGACCATCCTGTCTCCCTGGACCATCCTGTCTCCCTGGACCATCGGTCCCGAGGTGCAGGAAGTCGTCCAGGCAGGACACCCAAACAGGATGGTCCTGGTGCTGTATATATGCAGCATACAATGTGTTTATGATGGTTTGAAAGGTTTCTCTTCAAGCTCCTTGGCATGCCTTTCTCCCCCAGCATGGACAACGCTTCTGCACTAGCTCTTGCAGCCACGGGTACGTGTCCAATCATGGCATGGCGTGGTGTCCAAACAAGGCTTGCATGAATTGGATCAATCCATATCAATCCTCGCTTCAACTGAAGAGCCTGAGGCTGACGGAGTAGGTCCCTGGTCCCTCGCCCATTCTTCCAAGCCAAGCTCTTTGGGTCAACAGAAGTTTCTGTTTCAGAGGAAGTCAAAGATCCACCCAGGAGATACATGTTGGACCCGATGAGAAAAACACCCGGTTTCTAGGACCGACTTGAGAGTCACTCGAAAGCAAGTCAAGTTGTAGGAGTCACTGTTTTAAGTCTTAAGGAATTAAAGGCAAGTCACTGGTGGTTCCAAGAGATCTATGAGTAGAAGTCAATCCTGTACACCCTCTAGAGAAACATCCAAGGTATTCCAAGGTCATGTCAGACTCAACCTGAGAGTGTTGCATAGGAAACAAAAGCCCCGGCTTGCGCAACCCCTTGTGCTCTGCTTCCAAGTCTTTGAGCTGAAACAGCTTGCGCCAAGCGCGCCCTCGCTCGCGAGCTACAAAGAACAGTGAGTCGAATGATGCGGCGAAGGTGCGAAAGTCTCAACGATACCTTCACGTTCACCCCTGGGGAGTCCTTTGGACGATCTTTTACATGGTCTTTCGGTGATCCGGACAGAGATCTCCTGCTTTGGTGGTATCAATCGACCTTGACTTCCGAGGTTCAAGACCTCTGTTGCGAAACACTTCCTGTCCGCTGTCCGCGAACTTGAGACATCTGTGCCTTGCTTTCTCTTTCTCCTCCTGGCGGTGCTCCACAAACACGGATGAGCTAAGATCGACCAAGTTGTTCGTCCGAAACCTGAGAAAAGTCATAAGACTGTTGACGGTTGAAGTATTTAAAACAAAAACAAAGAATGAATCCCAGAACTGAGCAGGAAAAACCGGTTGCGAGGTCTGAAAAGAACTGGTCATGTATACTGGAGATCCTTTGCCGGTCCCATCCAGATGGGGGGGGGGCAATTGACATCATCAGTCATGTTCCACCCCCCACCGTCCACGTCAGACCATCAGAGAGAGTGAAACCGCCTCTGTTTGAACCGTCCTTTTAGGTGGTGAAACCGCGGCGAGCCGGGCATCGCGGCCGAGTGAGCCGCCCGTTTGGTGCGAAGAGACACGAGGCCGAACGAGTCTGGCTCGGAGCAAGCGAAGTCAAAGCACCCAGAACCGGGACTTAAGTCATACCTGGTCCGATCAAACGTCTGGGTTTCACGTCTGGGTTCGAGTCTCAGCCTGTTTTTTTTGGTGTTCACCCAAAAGACAACACGCTGTCGACCAAGGACGGGTGCGTCCAAAACCCCTGGGTGAACGATGTCCAACAGAGTTCATCCTGCAGATACCCATGGATGAGATCACAACGGTACTTGCGGATTGCGCGGTCATCGGAAGATGCAGGATGTCTTCCACCGCTTTCAAATTCATACCATCTTTCTCTCCCGCAAACGTGGCCTAGTTTGACAGGACTGTACAGGCTAGCCAGCGTCAAAAGTGTCTGTGAAGGGCTTGCCATACTTCCATGCTTCGACCATCCGTCGAAAGGCTGTGTGGCAAGGAAAACATGCGAAGATATCAGGTGTTTGGACGAGGTGGGACATCCTCCCAACGTCATCAGCACTAGCTGCGCAAGGATCCACACTCAGACTTCATGCAGCCTCTTGCAAGTAATACTGAGAATATCTGAAAGGCATCCATTGGTCCGTCTCGCAGGCTGTCCAGGAAGCACCTTTCTGCTTTACCTCTTTGCACTCCAACCACTTTTCACCATTCACTTCATGGACGATGCCGCGCAATTGCGCTCCATCTCGTGGCCAGTTATCCATGCTGCCCTTCTTCCCCGTCCGGGGGTCTGCCCGCCAAAACATGCCCGTGCAGCCCGGAGCGTCCTTCATCAGATCAAAGGTTGACAACTCGGCCATGGCGAGTGTTCGGAGCTTTATGGAAGCTTGGGAGCAAACGCAAAGGGTCCAGCAAGAGCGCTTGAGCCAAAGGGTTCATCGAGATCAACAAGAGATTTCATTAGAAAAAAGAAACTGCTGATTGGCTGCAAACGTGCACCTGTCTCTTCAAAACAATCATGCCAACACATTCAATTGGTGGTTTCAATATTGAACATAATCTCAGGACAAAATGACTAATAATATCACCAACCGTCAATACATGTATGAATACATGTTTTCCAAATTCCTATGTTCTTATGTGCTTGTTCTGTGTGTTTTCTCTTCATTTCTCACTTTTGATTTGCCAACTCCCACACGCTCCAAGCGAAAATTGCTTGCTTCACTTCCAGACCCGGACATGAAGTGGTTTTGTCGGCTCCTGCTCTTTCCTTTCGGCCTGGACCGGAGGGACTGTCGGCACCGGAGCCTTTGCAGAAGTGTCTGACACTGTGACACGATCTGTCTGTGACTTTGATGAGAAAAAACGAAGTACATTGACCCTCAAAAAGATCTCAACAAAACGCCCTTGAAGATGTGGATTGCAACATATTTCATACCACCCTGGGAGTCCTAGACAAAAAAATGGCTCTATCGAGTTGGAGGCCTTTTTAAAGGCATGTCCTGCATCTTTCACGAAGGGAGGATGAGAAGAGGAGAACTGGACTTCTAGGGTAGGAACTGGAGTGTCTGGGTCTGGGCAGCCCCGATCCCTGCAAAAGATGCCTGTCACTGAGCCCCCCAACCAAGTTGATCTCTCGACCACGCAGCTGGGTAGGAGAGGGTAGAGAGTCTCATCCAGACTAGGCTTCCAAGATCATTTAACAAATGGTTGACTCGGTGGTGTAACGTCCTTAGTAAAGCAGTAGTTGTTCCGGTGAGAACCATTGAATCTGGTGGTTGGAATTGGAATCAGGCCTAAAAGTCCAACCAAAGTGTTTCCATCGTGCGTAGCTTCCAGGCTTTCCATCGTGTGGAAAATGGATGAAGGATAAGGCATAGGCTAGGTAAGCATAACGATCAGATGAGCTCCTCTACTCGAAAGGCAAACCCATCACCCCCACCTACAAAGCATGGTCTTCTCAAAGGAAGGTTTACTTGGATCCTGTTTTGCCCTTGGAACGAAGAAGGAGGACCCAGGACAAAGCCTGACACGTCTATACCAGCTGCTTCTAAGGAAATACGGGTCTCCATTTCACGCCCCTTCAAAGCGCTACATAGTTTGACATAATTATATATATATTAGATCTCCTTCTCTGAAAATCTTCCATGGACCTTGGTATCATCTCTGGTGTCCGTCCGTGTTCCTTTGCCTAGACTTCGTGAGGTTTAGATTGATTTTTGTTGGAAGACAAGAGATATGGCAGTGTATGGCAGTGTGCCATCCAAAGGATAGGCTCACCAATGCAACTACATCAACCTTGCAATGGACCGTTGGATCGAATCAAAGTCTTGGACCAGGATCGTCCGATCGACCGAACCATCCGACCCAGCATGGTACCGGGATCCAATGCTGTACCAAGAGTTCCTCGATCGACGACGGGCAGCTACCTTGGGGGACAAGGAACGTTGCACCTGAAATCAGGACACTTCATGACTCTGATGTTGTCATTGGTGCATGACAGCTAGAGCAACAGCAGCCTACCCTTCTGTCAACATCTTCATCAAGCCCCTTGTTGAAACACAACTTGCTCCAGAAACCCATCAAGTTGCTCAAGCTCTTGGACTCACTGGCCGCCGCGTTCGGCCTACTCCGCTACTTCTTCCACCCAGACGCCTCGCGCCGCGCTTGGGCGTCCTCCTCGGCCTTCCGTCGCTCCTCCCGTTCGGCCTGGCGACGTGGTTCGGCCTGGCGACCGGTGTTGGCTGGTGCCTGATTGGTCCGAGGACGAGAACATGTGGTCATTCGTGTCAAATCCGACCATTCGTCGAACAGCTCATGTTCTTTAAGGGACTTTCAACGACTGGGACTATACCCTATTCACCCAAGCTTAGGCGTCCCACCATGCGTTTGTTTGTGTTTGTTTACTGTTCTTTTCTTCCCAACCACCAAGCAGTGCTTAGAAGGATGAAAACACGACCTAAAACCAGGTCCACCTTTTTCGACCGGTCGTTTGGACGACGGAGACGGTGCCACCCCCAGTCGGCCGTCGGGCCGCAGGGCTGGAGGAAAGGCCAACGCAGGTGGCGAGTTCAGCCGCGAAATACCACGACCGACCCTCCTGGAGACCAACCAAAAATTGACCCAGACGCGACCCTGGACACCCTCATATGGAGAGCTCAAAGGGTGAAACATGGTTCCAAGGTCGACCCTGGTTTCGGGTTGGACGAAAGATCAAAATGATCAAAAGAATGGTTTCGTCTGTCTTTCGGTGACCCGGTGGTGGACTGGTTTCGTTCCTGAACACCTTCGGTCCAGATCGTCGATTGGACCTGCCTTTTCGACATGCTACCGAGCCAGCTTCGGGAAAGAACCTTCTGCAGGGCTGGTTGGAAGGGCTTTCGGACTCGGCGGAAAAAACGTTGGGCAAAATTGACCTTAAAACCTGCAGGATGTCTGACCCTACACCTTCAAGTACCTCCTCAGAAGGTATTTGGACCCTCCAAACCCACCCCAGTCCCACCTTCTCAGAAGGTAGATAGAGGCCGAGGGTGAGTCTACAGGACTCGGTTTTTTGGGGGGGGGAAGTCCACAGTCACCGCGCCCGCTCAAGATCAGTCGCGCGCGCAACGCGCGAGAGGAGGTGGATCCGCCTCTCTTTTTCGGGCTTCGATCTCCGCGGCTTGCTCCGCCTCGCCGATCGAGGCTGAAAGGAGGTGATTCCCTGGGAGTCAAAGACTTTACGTACCTTACTTACCCTAGAAGTCCAAAGACTATTTCCGGCACCACCCCAGTAAAGGAAGTTCCTTTTCGGATCACCTAAAGACTGTTTTAAACATGGTCTTGGACTCCCAGGGTTATAATACAACATATAAGTATAGACACCGTTAGGCAGCTACTTAATTCAGGGAGTGAGCTTCTAGCTACTTCAGCTAGAGTTCGGGAAGTTCCTTCCCAAAAAAGAATGGCATAGTCGACCTTAGACTTCTAGGGTTTTGAACCCCTTCAAGGAGCAAATGCTCCATCTTTCAGATCGTCTTCGCGACGATGTTCCAGACCTGAATTCTTTGAGGCATTGACCCAGGGAATCACCTCTTTTCATGCAGAAAACTGGGGCCCCCCCCATTCCACCATGGCTCGGTCACTTCCACTTCCACCATGGCTCGGTCAAGTCCAGATCTGATCCCAGACGGATCGACGCATGTCGTCCACATCGTCCCATGTCCGGGAAGCGACATCTTCCAATCTGAGCACAGAATCGACTAAAGTCCGAGCTCGTCCACTCCGTCCACTCACTTCCTCACATCGAAGTGGGTGACACCCCTTGAGGGGTTCATATGGGGTTCAGGGGTCTTCCAAGGGACCCCATTTTTTCATCCTTTTTCACTTCCATATGATGTGGAAAGTCGTTTCGTGCACCTGATTTGACCTTTTGGTCCATTCTTCGCCTTCTGGCCAAAAGGAATCGCCGACCCCTCGACGACCCCGGCGGCAGGATCGACTGACCGTTTAAGGGGGATTTCCTCGATCGGGTGGTCATCGGGTGGTCGACCCCTCGGTGAGCCATCACACCGTGTCCGAGCAAAGAATCCTCGTATGTTGAACCATCACGTCGTCCCAGGACTGGGACGGTGACGAGGCGGCCAAGCAGTCAGGACGGTGAGGCGGCGCAGTTCAACGCAGGAGGACTTTTTGGAGGGACTGAAGAAAAAGCTGTTAAACGTCTTTACGTCTCAAACTCTTACTGTGATGTGTTGTGTTTGGAGTTGCTTCTTCTGGGCCTTGCCCTCTCAAATAATTACAAGGAACTTGGTGTTGCCAGCTCAGCTAGCCATGCAACGACTCCAACACACAGCTAGGTGCATGACGCCTGTTGGCCGAGACACTTACTGTATATAGGTGGATTCGATTCTTTGGTGCATTGGCAAAGACTTTTAATCAAACCAGAACCATCCCCTGGGCTGCTATATTTTGTCCATGGAGCGAGAGGGGGGGGACTTCAGTGAAAAGATCCTTCAGCGTCCACCTCACTTCGATCATACTCACCAAGTGCAGTTCAAATCAGCATGATATTTGGTACCAGCACGAGTCAGCACGAGTCAACAAAGTTCATCCACTGGAAGTCTGGACTTCAACTATACTTGGCACCATAAAGACCACCAACGTAAAGAACATACTTTTGAGGTCACCTATAGTCAGACCATGATTTCAACTAGAGTCACCAGTCCAGAAAAGCCGCTGCTTCGGCGCCTGTGCATCACTCCTCTCTTGCCTGACATCGGCAAATCGGTGTCACCGACCCGAAGAGGACTCCAGCACCCTCCGTTGGATCGGTGGAACTCCTGTGTTTCCCTTCGTTCGATGCCCAGATGTCTCTTGACCACATGGGGCGTTCTGGCTCTCCAAACAGCACCGAACCGAGGGTCTGTGAAGGTGGCTTAGCAGGTCCAGTGCTTTTTTTTGCCCATGGATGTGCTGTATGGGTCCTTCATGTGATGCGTGATCAAGTCAAACACCGGCTGATGTTTCCGTAACACGCAGGATACACAACCTAGCAGTTAACGGGCGCCCTCTGGAGACCATACGTAGGGTAGGGTAGTCGAACGCCAGGACACCCAGCATGACAGCAGGATCAGGGCGCCGGTTTCGGCCGGTGCATGTGGAGGCGTCAGGGGTTACTGGTCACCAGAGGCTCCAAATGGACAGACATGGCCCTGTACCAGGACAGGGGCCGTGAACGACCCGATGTCTCCTCAACGAACGATAACGAACGGCATCTCACACCGGGGAGTTGGGGGATCCAGCTGGAGTTATGTTTGATATATTGAACTGGATCCAGCTGAAGTCATCTTGGGGGATCCAGCTAAAGTCACAAAGAGGTCCTCCGTAAGATCCAACGTTGCTTGAGACAACGCCCAGACACCCAGACGCCGCCCAGACACCGGGGCCTGTGGTTGCCACAGGCCTTCCTTTCCATCTCAAAAAGAGCGAGAAGAGTGATAGTCGACTGTTATCCCTAACATCATCCTTAATCCCAATAGAGGTTGAATGACCCTATAGACTATCCCATAGGTACCCCAGGTGACCGAGAGGTCACTGGGACTATCACTCTGATCGCTCTTAACAGTCGACCTGCAAGCCTGCTTCTTGCGAGCAAACCGTGCCGCACCGTCACGGTCGGAAATTGGCGCCGCACCTTTTCGAGCGTTTCGACCAGGCCGTTATTCGCAAAAACAGAGTTTGGAAAGAAGAGAAACACTGGGAGATATGTGATGATATGTGAAAAAAATGTGTGATGTACATTCTTGGTTCCCTGTTGGAAAAGCACGAGATGGTCTTCCAACCGGTGGCCATCCACCTTCCCAACCCTGCAACGCGTCGCCCGCGCGTCCCACGGATCAGGTTCCCCTACGGACCAGGCTCGGCCTGAGAGAGACGAATGGGGGAGTCCTGTGTCCGGTATAGCTTCATCATCTCACCTGCCCTACTCGCCCTACTCCTCGGAGTCTCCTACCTGCCCTACTAGCGAGTCGAACACCAACTACTTCAAGGGCGGTCATGGCCCATGAATTTTTTTTGTGGATTGAGAGGACCAATGGCGCAATCCCCAATGTCGGTGGCTTATATGGACCCCCATCTGTCTAAAAGTCCTCTTGGGGTGCCAGTGCCATCGAACCTCTGAAGCCACTGTAATGGTTTTCCATCCGACCCCGAAGCATATCTACAGACGATTTGGAACACGACCAATGGGAGACCGGGTCGTTCCCCCCGACAGTAAGTATGGTCGAACGGACCATGCACTGGGGCCTGTAGACCACCGTCTGAACCCAGGTCCACTTGGGCTGCACTTTGGGATGGGTCGAAGCAAACCCTTGGTGTTGGTTCCGGTCCTTGGTATCACCCAAATCCCTTCGCAAACAGTGGGTGAGTGACAGTCTAATCCAATCAAAAAAGAACCCACTACTCATATTATGGAGATGTTGAAACAATCTCTAGGGCAAATTTGTCAACAGACGTCTAAGACCATTAAAGGCCTGGCAGTTCCATGTGGCTGGTCTACATACATACCCCCCACATACATACCCCGCCAACAACAAGTCCAGCTTTCCCGCCATGCTTTCCCGCCTGTGGGAAGATGTGATCATGGAGCCTCGGATGGAATCTTCGGATTGCGAAAATAATAGAAATACATAAGGGAAATAAATATAGAAAAGAAAAAAAAAAACATGTGTTCCGTTTTATAAAAGAAAGGAACGATATAAAGGAACACCTGCAAAGCCCCCCCGAGGAGGCCACCATTGTCCTGTTCTTCTTCTGGGGCAGAAGAAGGTGATAGGATGATGTAGGATGAACGAGCCAAGTGATCAATGGTGTGGGCTTGGGGGAAGTAAATTGAGGACCCCTAAGGAGGACACGCAAAAGCTGGTGATTGAAGGTTCCAGACTACAAGACCTTTTGCACTAAAAATCCTCCAAGAGACCCGTGTGACTTGGTGCAGTCGACGTATTTCTTCTGTTGAAATCGTCTACATGCCAAAGCGGATGATGATGGACCAACCAGTCCGCCACGCCAAATGGACCTGTCAATCAAAGAACAAACTCTCTTCTTGCCGAAGTATCCTTGGCAGGAAGAAAGGATGATGTCTCATGATCCGGGTGTGCCAAGCTCTTTAGCTCAAAGTGGCAGCACCCTCAGAAACTTCTACAGCGAGAAGATGAAGGAAAAGTCCTACCGGAAAAACAGCTCCTTAGTTTGAAGGGAAAGAAACTCCGCATGTCTCAGAAACGGCCAATACCCCCAAAATCCCCGGGTCCCCGGGTGGATCCAGGGTCACACTCAAACACTCTGTGGCTAAAAGTGAGATGCAGATTCCGATCAAAGACTTTCTTCCAGGAGTCACAAATGGAGTGGTTTTTGGCCTTATCCAGGGCCGTGGATGTGATGTTCGGTGCACCCCCTATCCAACCTTCCTCCGTCGCTCCGTCCTATCGCGAGCATACTCGGTGACTCTGGAACCGCCGTTCGTTCGGAAGTTGGTGCGATTCGTTCGGAAGTGGAATAGTGCCCCTTCTACCCCCCAATACATCCCACTTCTTCGGGAATGAAAACCTGGCTTTCAGGTGCGCCCTATACATCCTGAGCGGTGGCGATCCGGCGATCGGCTGCAGAACATGGATTTGGCTCGGCTGACGTGTCCTGAAGAAGCCGAGCAGGGCGTCGATGGATCCGGACATCGACATATCATCGCCCGTTCCGTCGTTGATATATCCCAACTCCGTGAATTCCGCATGAAAAAGAAGGATATATACCTGGGCCAAAACGAACTCAAACCAAATGCACCTCTAGGCTGCATTTACGGATGCAAAGGCAAACATGTGGCCTAGTCAGAGCATCGGGGTACAGAAACTCCCCAGATTATATAGAGAGTTTAATAGTTCCATAGCTTCAAGATCTCTAGGAGACCCCTCCCCTTTTCCATGTTTTTCTGCTTCACAAAACTTCTGCGCTTTCAAGTTCCGAAGCGCGGCCACTGGGTACCCCTGGCTGTTTCGCTTGGTCGTCCACAGTGTGATCCACAAAGAACCTCACGATGGTCCAAGTTCCAGGGCTTCAGGTGACATCATGATCTGATCGTGATCGATGTTCTTCAAAAAGAACTCCACTTTTGTGTTCCTCTATGCGAATGAAGAACAAAAAAGAACTGAATAGGAGAAAATGACTCGAAGAGTTTAATGAATAGCACCTGTGCATCCAGTATGCTACAGAGTTTTTCATGTTGCGCTAGACTTTGGATCCAACACATTGCCTTATTGAATTCTGAGTGATGTGCGATTCGGATCTGCCTTATGCATCCTTATGCCAGATCAAATCAAAAACTCACCAATCTGGGTGAATCAAATCAGCCAGAAATTCGGAAGGCATCCATGTTGTGTAGTGCAAAATCCAGGTATGTGTGTGGGTCACTTGGAACGACGCCAGTTTATATGAATATAGCTCCACTGGGTGGACCTTAAGATCATCCGGCTACTGAAATTGCATCCTCGCAGGATGTCCTGTGAACCCCCAAACCTTTCCTTGCCTTCTCTATACATCTTTGTCACGCGAATTGAACTGCAAGCTGCAACCTATCACAATGTATGCGTTTGTTCATGTATGTTCCAAACTGGTGGTGAACACCAAGCATGTGTATGCGTGTGGTTCATCATGTTTCCAGTTGTGAAACCACAAGATCAACCTTCATTGGCCCAGAGAAGTCTCGTCAAAATGCATCTCCTTTCAGGATCTTTGAGGATTCCAACACCGAAATCTCCAGCTGTTTCCAGACAACTCCTGTTCCGTCTCCAGGGCCCCCTAGCCCTGCTGTTGGCTCGATCGGAGACGTCTGAGCAGCGGAGAGCCAGGTGGACAGCAGAGGCCATGATAGGCTGGATCATGTCCTCATGGTTCCTCTAGAGTCTAGCTACCCCAATCCTGTCGTGTTGGGGAGCAAAACATGGAGATGTCTTCTAGAAAGCTCCATTCAGGAAACATGAAATCAAAAGCTCATGAATAATGGTTGAACAGCGGGAAGGATGCTCTGACCATCAAATCCTGTCTGAGGCCCTGGCGAAGGACCACCGTGCTTGGGAAGCTGTGTGTAACTTGGCTGTTGCTTTAGCACCCGACAGCAGGTGCGGTTCGAGCGGTGCTTCAACGTGTTTGAAGACTGCTCCAGCTGCTCAGAGGAAGCTTGGAAGCTTGCTTGCTCGCCTAGGGTCATCAAATCCTTGGTTGAACCTGAAAAATCCGCTTGGGCCACCCGGCCACTTGCACCATGCTCAGCGCGTGGCCGAGTTCCCCGGTTCAACATCGACACCGTCCCCCGTTCCCTTGGAGTCTGGAATCCGTTCCCCATCTGCGCAACCCTCGGCGTTCTCGGGGGCCTTCCGACCCTCTGGACGTCCAAAACGAGGACGGTGACCCGGTGGTGGACTGGACTCTCCTGAAACCTTCAGTTGGTTGGTCCATTTGGGGGGGTCTGGTAGGTTTATGGGGGGATCGATCCCCCTGTCATATCACATCACACTGACTGAGTATACGGCACTCAACGCCACGTAAGGACATGGATAACTCGGTCGCCCACTGATCGTTGTGGGTTGGCCGCGTTAGGGGTCGGACTCTGCAGTCCGAGTATGTGTCTTCCTTAGGTCAAGGAATGTCACGTGTCATTCGGGACCCTTTTTGGGATTCTTGTTGCGGTCTTTGACTCCGAATGGTTGCGCTGGTCTGGTCGCACCAGGGTTGTTATACACCATCTGGGTCATCTGATCTTCCGGTCTCATCAGATCAACCTGATGCTACCAGCTCCGGATGAAAAAATATCGCCTGAATCCCTAGGAATGCCATTGTTGAACGATTTACACTAGAAAACCAGGTCATTCCCATGTTTTAATTGCATTCTCGAAAGGCGAGAAGAGGGGATACAGGCGACCGGGTCGACCAAACGAATTGGATTAAAGGTTCAGTTGCTCAGTGCCTTTCACAGACCTTTTGGAAGCGCCCGCATTTGGCACAGTTGGAAGATCCATGTAACCTTCCAAAACATGACTAGGGTGAGTTGGGACTTGGGCAGTTTCACCGAGGACTGCAGATCGGAAAATGGACCCCAAAAATGCAGGAGTTCGCCTATTAAGAGAGAAGCCACCTAGGACCCCCCTCACCACCGAAACCCTATTGTTAACCCGTCTAGAATCGGGAGAAACCCAATTGCTTGTCCCAAATTCGACCCCGCCCCCCCACAGTCTTTGTTTTGCGTTCCTTTCACCAGGTTTGGATGGTATACCGGAATATCCTCTTCATCCCTCTTCTGTTTCAGCATGTGCCTCCTATACCGTCCCCACCCGCCCTCGTGGTCCCTGTACCGTCCCATGCCGTCGACGTCCACCTGACAGCACATCCACCCCACGTGCTACGTGCCGCTGGGCCTCCCGACCAGGACACCTGCATCTGTCAGGAGTTGGACCGTGGACTCCTTGGCGGAGTCACTGAGTCACTGGCGGAGTATCGTCGGTGGGACCTGGAGTTCCTAGGATTCTACACCAAAAAGCACCCAGGTCGTTCCCATTTTTGGGGCTTCCACGGTCCTTCCGGGCCGGCCCGACCTTGCCCCGTCCCATATGGGTCGACCGGGCGTTCCGCGATTGGGGCGGCCCGCCGGACGAACTCCTACAGGTGCCCAAAAGTATCAAAAAGTCAGTAAAACTCAAGGTTGTTCTAATGTTGCTTGGGATTCAGGCTATTCAATGAATGGTTGGAAGCCTCAAACAGCGGTCTCCAGCACCTTCAGTCCCAGGTCTCCACGGTCGGCAGACGACCAAGAGAGGCTGTGGCAGGACCGGTGAACACCGACGTCGAGGTCCTGGTCTGGTGTATGGCAGAAAGAGTCACCTCAGGTGAACCACCTAGTACAGTAGTGTAGTTCATGGGGAGGGCAAAAAAGCGAGCCACCTTTCAGCCATGGAGGGCACCGGATTTCGGAGGTCCAACGCTCCAAATCAGCTTCCGTAAGGTCTCCGGAGGTGACGGCCGGACGTGTGGCCGGAACGTCACCACCTCGGACCGACCAACCCGGTGGGTCCATCGGCCGATTTCGTCGTCGCCTTGAAGACATCGTTCTCGCCAAAGTCTTTGAAATCCAAGAAGGCCACTCCTGCGTCCGAAGAGTGCGACTCCGGAGTGCGAAGACCAAGTTCAGCTCCGGAGTGCGGCGCTTCAGCGCTCCGCGGAGAGCTCCTAGAGCTCGGGGTCCCGTCTCTTGAGGGGACCGCTGGAAGGAAATCCAAACTTCAGCACCACCCCCTGGAGTTCCGGTGCGAGTCGAGGAGCCGTTTTCACGTGAGCACGTACTTCAAGAACTTGACCCTCCACCATCCGAAGAATACCCATAAAAAATGCGGTGCTGGATGTCCAGGTGCTGTGCTTATGGCTTTGTGTGGCTATATAGTACTTGCACCCCAATGCCAATGTCATCCTTCTGTGTTTAGGCTTTAGGCCGTTCTTCTCAATATGTCTCAATCCCCCAAAAAAGCAGCGAGCTTTGGAAAAGACTCAGACCATTCTTCACACTGATGCTTGATTCATCTGGATTCCTTGACTTGGCCGTCTGGTACACACGTGAGAAAGCGATGGAAATACGGGCCGGGCAATCACTTCGAATCACCTCCGTTCCCTCCAATCCTTCTAAAGTGTTGCTTCCTTCGTCTTTCAACTCCTCTCCGGCCATTCTCTGATAGTACAAAACATCTTGAGGTCTCAAGTCCTGCCTGACTGCCCTCAGACCCCCTCAGTGGATGCTATGGACTATGGATGCTCGGCTTCGAAAAACATCTTCCGAAGGTCGCGGGGCGCAAAGCGGCAGATTCCATGGGACCGACCAAACCCAATACCATCAATTCGAACCCGCAGCCCATGCAAGAGAATTTAGCTGGAAGCTCTTCTGCAGCTTCAGCTCTTGGAGAAAAACTCCCAGTAACTGGTAGGAAAGCAATAGAACATCTTCCCCAGAAACTGGGATGCATCCCAGTGCGGCAAAATAAACATCTCCAATCAGCAAGTTCTCAGGACTGGCGGCCAGCATTTACCAAAACCTATCAAAACCTCTCAGTCTGAAATCAGGGAAACACATCAGCTGTGCAAAAATAAACGTGATCCTCCACTTGAATTTGCTTCATGAGCCTGGAAAACATCTTCCCCTTCTCCAGGTTTGGGGATTTGCTCCGTTCAGGAAAATTAAAAAAAACGCCAGGCTCCCAGGTCTCTCGGGTCCCACGATCTCTCCTATGTGATCGTCATTCACTGAGAGTGTCATGGTGACATTCTGTGAACGATCCGGCAGATTGGGCATCGTGATACCTGGGTAGACTCGCGGAAGGGTTTGGTTCGGGTGCGAAAATGGTCCGACCCCTACCATGGAGGGCCCGTAAGGATTCTTTGGGTGGATGTAGATGTGTCACGCTTTACTTTTGGGGTTGTTTTCGAAGCTCAAGTAGTGGGCATCTTGGGGCTGTTCCATGAGAACAGAATCGATTTGGCAGCGTTTCCATTGCCCCCCGACCACTGTGTCACTATGAATCAAGCTGCTCTTAGACAACCACTTCATGTTGTGATGCAAGGACAAAATGGAATGCACTGCCCACGAGGCAGTGAACTGACCTAATTAAGTGTCCCAAAAAAATCGTGCGAGCGCTTCTTCAAGGAAGCTTCCTGGAAGAAGCGTGAGCTATCCTGCGTCCTCAGTAGTAGTTACTTGCAGGTAGTACCTACCTCTTCCTGCTGGCTACCTACCTCTAGCTAACCTTAACCTACTTCCTAGCGGCCTACCCCCCCCGGTCTAATAAAGAAAAAAGGAAGTTGGATACAGCTATACCATACTATACCTATATTATATACTATATAATATAGATCTTCCAACTGGGATTCACGGCATCTCGTCCATGAAAAAAAAACTCCACCGTGACCAAGCGGCTAAAGAAACTGCAGTAGGCATATCGAACCTGGCACGTTGTTTTTCAGAGCTGCTCAGAGCAGTCAGAGCTGAACAGCCGTGCGTGGCAGTGGGTCTGGAAGCGTGGACAACAAACCTACTGCCATCCACTGCCACCCTTTGAGAAGGTCATATACCTGGACCCTCCGTTTGATCGGTGGAACTCCTGGGTGAACCCGTGCGTTTTCGGTGCGTCGCTTCACCACCGGACTGAGCTCGGCTTCTAAAACCACCGGCTCCTGGCACCAGGAGTTCACCATCCGGTGCCGAACGAGCTTGGAGGAAGGATCGGGGTGTCCTTATCACATCACATCCACCACCGGCCCCTGGAATGGGACGAGCCAAACATCTAAAAACCACCCAACTCCATGTGACCCCTGGTACGGTATATGCTTCCAAGCGGGTACCAATGGACAACCCCACACTGCTTATAGGTCACCAGACAGGACACCCATTGGAAGCGCTAGGCTGGTATATTCTCTTGCAAATGTCCCGTGCAAATGCACACACCATGATACCTGCCAGCCACATGCCGGAGGGTCCTGAAGAACCAACGAGGTCAACCTTTCACTCACTCCCTTGCCTTGGTCTTCATCTTCGGTAAAAAGTACAGAAAGGCGAAGACAGGGCGAAAGGCGAACCCACCTGAATGAAGCACCCCAAGGTAGCAGCTTTGAGGGGGCTTTCAGGGATATCCAGCACCCTCCGTTTGAGGTGCTCATAAATAGGCCTCTTAGAGGTGATTCAGGGTGTCCCAAAACCACAGCTGGACTTCTAGGGCGTAGCTTGATGTTCAGAAGTTTCATCTGCAATTCCAAAGGGGTGCCGAACTTGGATGATATACACACCAACCCTTCGCCCAACCCTTCGCCCAGGGCTGCTAAATCACCCAAGCATGCTGGGCTTGGCCGGCTCGTCCGTGAGCACCACGGACCTCGGGCTTCGAGGCTTCGGTGTTGAGCCCTGCAGAGCCCACTCGACTCTGCGTGTCCCAAAGATGCCGAGTTGGATCTTCCTTGTTACTAGTAATTCCCTGGTCAACCTCGTTTTGAAGTGCTCGTGTTTCAGCTCGGGGACGGGTCGACGGGTTTATTGGGGGGGAGAACAAACGAAGAGGTTGGCTGGCTGAAACAGCCTGCCGTGGAGTGTTGAAGGATTGGTTCACACAAACATGAATGAAAGTAACATGGGGCTTGCTGTCCAAGAACCTGGAAAAATACGTATATGAACCCCGAACAACCAGAAACAAGCGGTTGGAACCCAATATGGCATCGGGCCTTTCTTGTTCATTGCTGGGACTCTGCTGTGTGTGCCAGGCGGCATTTGAAGACCCCTTCGAAGAGGACAGGTGTTTGTGTGTCTTTGTTGGCCTTATCTTCCCTGTCGTTGCTTGCCAGCTGTGTTTTGCAGGAGCCAGTGGATGGCGAGCAGGCACCATCCTTGGGAAGGGTTGTCGTGTCACTCGTGTTTTGCATGTCTCTATACTTGGCAGGCGGCTTCTGAAAAAACTTCTCTTTCAAGAAAGAGGACCGGCTCTTGTGCATTGATTGCCCTTGTGGTTTCGTCGCTGCCCATTGGCCAAGTGCCGCGCCTGTTCAGGCACACCACATGATCGAGGAAGAGGCCAGGGCCCTGTGACTAGAATGCTTTGCTGGTTTCCAGTTCCTTCTTTTGTGACAGGAGCAATCCTTCGAAAAGGACAACCCGGCCGTGTTGAATTAGCCCTGTCGGGCCTTTTTTGTTCAATATATACTGGGATTCTGCTCAGAGCTAATTCAACACGTCGGCGGGGTTGTCTTTTTCGAAGGATTGCTCCTGTCACAAAAGAAGGAACTGGAAACCGGCAAAGCATACTAGTCACAGGGCCCTGGCCTCTTCCTCGATCGTGTGGTGTGCCTGAAAAGGCGCGGCACTTGGCCAATGGGGAACGACGAAACCACAAGGGCAATCAATGCACAAGAGCCGGTCCTCTTTCTTGAAAGAGAAGTCTTCAGAAGCCGCCAAGTATAGAGACACGCAAAACACGAGTGACACGACAACCCTTCCCGAAGGATGGTGCCTCCTCGCCATCCACTGGCTCCTGCAAAACACAGCTGGCAAGCAACGACAGGGAAGATAAGGCCAACAAAAACACACAAACACCCGTCCTCTTCGAAGGGGTCTTCAAATGCCGTCTGGCACACACAGCAGAGTCCCAGTAATGAACAAAAAAGGCCCGACAGGGCTAATTCAACACGTCGGCCGGGTTGTCTTTTTCGAAGGGTTGCTCCTGTCACAAAAGAAGGAACTGGAAACCAGCATTCTAGTCATAGGGCCCTGGCCTCTTCCTCGATCATGTGGTGTGCCTGAACAGGCGCGGCACTTGGCCAACCACAAGGGCAATCAATGCACAAGAGCCGGTCCTCTTTCTTGAAAGAGAAGTCTTCAGAAGCCGCCTGCCAAGTATAGAGACATGCAAAACACGAGTGACACGACAACACTTCCCGAAGGATGGTGCCTCCTTGCCATCCACTGGCTCCTGCAAAACACAGCTGGCAAGCAACGACTGGGAAGATAAGGCCAACAAAGACACACAAACGCCCGTCCTCTTCGAAGGGGTCTTCAAATGTCGCCTGGCACACACAGCAGAGTCCCAGTAAAGAACAAAAAAGGCCCGACAGGGCTAATTCAACACGTCGGCCCTGTCACAAAAGAAGGAACTGGAAACCAGCAAAGCATTCTAGTCACAGGGCCCTGGCCTCTTCCTCGATCATGTGGTGTGCCTGAACAAGCGCGACACGTGGCCAATGGGGAACGACGAAACCACAAGGGCAATCAATGCACAAGA